CGCGGCGCCCGCCATTTGAGACGACCAGGCACTGATTGCGGAAAGCGCGCCAGTGGATCCCCCTGAATACACTCAGGGGGGGGGCCAGACTCCCCGCACACACGCGCACGCACGCACGCGCGCACGCACGCACGCACGCACGCACGCACACAGACGCACACACACATACACACGCACGGACGCACACACACACACACACATACCACACACACACGCATGCACGCACGCACGCACGCACGCACGCACGCACGCACGCACGCACGCACGCACACACACACACACGCACGCACGCACGCACGCACGCACGCACGCACGCACGCACGCACGCACGCACGCACGCACGCACGCACGCACGCACGCACGCACGCACGCACGCACGCACGCGCGCACACGCCACACACACACACGCGCACGCACGCACGCACGCACGCACGCACGCACGCACGCACGCACGCACACGCACGCACGCACGCACACACACGCACACCCGCACCCGCACCCGCACCACACCCACACCCACACCCACACCCACACCACACCGCACGCACGCACGCACGCACGCACGCACGCACGCGCACGCACGCGCACGCGCACGCGCACGCGCACGCACGCGCACGCGCACACGCACACGCACACGCACACGCACACACGCACACGCACGCACACGCACACGCACACGCACACGCACACGCACACGCACACGCACACGCACACGCACACGCACGCACGCACGCACGCACGCACGCACGCACGCACACACACACACACACACGCACACACGCACACACGCACACACACGCACACACGCACACACGCACCCCCACACACACACACACACACACGCGCGCGCGCGCGCACACACACACACACACACACACACACACACACACACACACCCCCCGGCGCTGAACGGGGGGGGGGGTCGGGCCCCCCCCCCCTCTCTTGCGCCGGAAAGGGGGCCGAGGAGGGGGGGCCTCTCGCTTCTCCTTTCCGCGCCAGAAAAAGGAGTTGCGGAGTTGGGAGTAGGGAGTGGTGAGTGCATAGGGAGTTGGGAGTGCATAGGGAGTGCGGAGTTGGGAGTAGGGAGTGGTGAGTATTGAGTAGTGAGTTAGCGCGTAGTGAATAGTGAGTATTGGGTAGTGAGTAGTGGGTAGTGAGTGGCGAGTAGGGAGTAGGGAGTAGGACATGGGGAGTAGTGAGTAGTGAATAGTGAGTAGTGTGTACTGATAAGTGAATAGTGAGTAGCGAGTAGTGAGTAGTGAGTAGCGAGTAGTGAATAGTGATCACTGAGTAGGGGGTAGGGAGTAATGAGTAGTGGGTAGTGAGTAGTGGGTAGTGAGTAGTGGGTGGCGAGTAGTGATTAGTAGTGAGTAGTGGGTCGTGCGTAGTGAGTAATGCGTAGTGAGTAGTGATTAGTGAGTAGTGAGTACTGGGTAGTGAGTAGTGAGTAGTGAGTAGTGAGTAGCGAGTAGTGAGTAGTGACTAGTGACTAGTGAGTACTGAGTACTGAGTAGTACGTAGTGCGTAGTGAGTAGTGAGTAGTGATGAATAGAGCGTAGTGGGTAGTGGCAGTGGGTAGTGTGTAGTGAGTAGCGAGTAGTGGGTAGTGAGGAGCGAGTAGGGCGTAGTGAGTAGTGAGTAGTGAGTAGAGAGTAGCCAGCAGTGAGTAGTGGGTAGTGATTACTGAGTAACGACTAGCGAGTAGCGAGTAGTGAGTAGTGAGTAGGGAGTAGGGAGTAGTGAGCAGTGAGTAGTAAGAAGTGGGTAGCGAATAGTGGGTTGTTAGTAGCGATTAGTGAGTAGTGACTCGTGGGTAGTGAGTAGTGACTAGTGACTAGTGACTAGCCACCTGTGACTAGTGAGTAGAGACCATGTTGTGACTAGTGAGTAGGGAGTAGTGAGTAATGAGTAGTGAGTAGCGGGGAGTGGGTAGTGAGTCCTGAGTAGCGAGTATGGGCGTAGCGAGTAGTGAGTACTGAATACTGTGTAGTCAGTATTGTCTAGGGAGTAGGGAGTAGCGAGTAGTGGGTAGTGAATAGTGATTTGTGGGCAATGAGTAGTGAGTAGTGGATTAGTGGGTAGTGAGTAGTGATGAGTGAATAGTGAGTAGGTAGTAGTGAGTAGTGCTTAGTGAGTAGTGAGTATTGAGTAGTGGGTAGTGAGGAGTGAGTAGTGAGTACTGAGTAGGGAGGAGGGAGTGGTGAGTAGGGAGCATGGTAGCGAATAGTGGGTGGTGGGTAGTGAGTAGTAGATAGTGAGTAGTGAGTCGTGAGTAGTGAGTAGGGGGTAGTGAGAAGTGGGTAGCGAATAGCGAGTAGTCAGTAGTGGGTAGTGAGTAATGAGTGGTGAGTACTCTTTGGGGCTGGGGTTAGTGCTTGGGGTTGGGGTTAGGGGTTTGGGTTCGGGTGAGGACTCGGGGTAGGGGTGGCGGGGGTCGGGTTCCGGAGTCAGGGGGCGGCGTGGCGAAAGAGGGAAAGGGGGGGGGGGTCCGGCCAAAGGGGGAGACGGGGGGGGGGTCGGTCCTCCCCCCCTTTTGAAAGGGGGGGGGGGTCCCCGACGACGGATCGGGGAAAGGAGGGGACGGGTGGGGGTCCCCGACGACGGATCGGGGAAGGGGGGGAGAGGGGGGGGTCCCCGACGACGGATCGGGGAAGGGGGGGGTGTTCCCCCCCCCCCTTTGGGGAGATCCAGCGGCGCACCCTCCTGATTGCGCCCAACGCCTGAACTGTTTGTCCAAGCCGTTGCGCATGATTGTTACAGTCTGCTTGCATGCCGTCGTCGGTCGTCGCCCCGCTCAGCAGAGTCGGTCCGACAGGGGAAAAAGACAAAACAAAACAAACAAAAAGCGAGCCAACAAACAACCACAAAAACAAACAACAAACTTAACAAAACAAGCACATCAACAAAAATGAACAAGCACCATCTGCATCATCATCATCATCATCATCATCATCATCATCATCAGCATCATTTTCATGTTCATCATCTTCATCATCGTCGTCATCATCATCACCATATTACCATCATCGCCATCATCGCCATCGTCATCATCATCTGTATTTCGGCACACCCTTCACAGTTCCGTGGCCCCACAAGGGAGCCCCACCGAAGGCCCCATCTGGGAGGGTCTACACGCGTCCGCCCGATCAATGTCGGCACACCCCGCACACGTCTCGTGGGTTCATATAGAGTTCCACCGAAAGGCCCTAGCGGGAGGGTCCACATGCGGCCGCCCGACCCATCATGCCGGCGCACCCTTTACACGCTTCGTGGCCCCATAGGGGACCCCACCGAAGGCCCAAGTGGAAGGGTCCACATGCGGCCGCGCGACCCATGTCGGACACCCTTCACAAGCTTCGTGGCCCCATGGGGAGTTCCACCGAAGGCCCGATTTGGAGGGTCTGCATGCGTCTGTTCGACCCATTCCGTCACACCTTTCAGACGTTTCGTGGCGCCAAAGGAAGCACCACCGAAGGGCCCCAGCGGAAGGGCCCACATGCGTTTAACCAACCCATGTCGGACACCCTTCACACGCTTCGTGGAGCCATAGGGAGCTCCACCGAAGGGCCCCAGTGAGAGGGTCGAGATACGTCCCCACGATTAATTCGTATGCACCCTTCACACGCTTCGTGGCCCCATAGGGAGCCCCACCGGAGGCTCCAAAGGGAGGGTCTACATGCGTCCACCTGACCCACGTCGGCACTCTTTGCACACGCTTCGTGGCCGCATAGGGAAACCCACCGAAAGCCCCAATGAGGGCCCACATGCGTCTACCCGACACAAGTTCACACACCCTTCACACTCTTCGTGGTTTCATATTGAGTTCCACCGACGGCCCCAGTGGGAGGGTCCACATCCGCCCGACCCACCCATGCCGGCACAACTCTCACAAGTTTCGCGGCCCCATGCGGAGCCCCACCGAAGGCCCGGCACATGTTGCATAAGTGTCGTGGCCTCATGTGGAGTTCCACCGAAAGGCCCCAGCGGGAGGGTCCACATGTGTGCGCCCGACCCATGTCGGCACACCATGCGCACGCTCCGCGGTTCCATAGGGAGCTCTACCGAGTGACCCAGCGGGAGGGTCGAGATACGTCCGCACGATTCATTTTTAAACACCCTTCACACGTTCCGTGGCCCCATCGGGAGCCCCACCGAAGGCCCCATTGGGAGGGTCCACAGGCGTCCGCCCAACAAATTCCGGTACCCCTCACACACTTCGTGGCCCCATGGGGAGTCCCACCGAAGGCCCCAGTGGGAGGGTCCACATGCGTCTGCCCGACAGATCTCGGTACAACTCTCACACGCTTTGTGGCCCAATAAGGAGCTCCACCGATGACGACTCTCGCATCGGCGTTGTTCACATATGCATATTGTTGGGTTGCTTGCCTGGATAGTTGAATTACGCGCCTGGCTTACTTCTGATTATGATTATTCACAAGCTGACATTATGCAGAAGCTTTGAGAAGGTCGAACGGATCTACGAGAGTTTATATTTGTACAGTTGAGCGGTTCGCCATTATGCCGCTTTTCGTAAAAAAAGCGTGAAGAAAGTGCCCCCCCGGACGGGGTCAACCTCGCCTCATTGGCGGTCCGCGCCGTGTGCCACGACGCCTTCGGCACTCGGTGGTTGTCGGCGGCGGGGTCGATTTGGGAGGGTCGGAGCGAGTAATGTCCCCCAGGCGCTTATCATAGAATTCTAGTGCTCGGAACCCGTGTTTTCACTGCAAGTCATTTTTCTTTTTCGAGGGAATTCCGTGATGGCCTCGTATAGGTTTGGCATGGAGTTCATTCACGCAGGTTTTTTAGGCGTTCTTGGTTTGCAGTGGCACAGCACAAGGTCACGGCTCCTGGAGGAGACCCAGTATGTGTAGAATCATTGCAGCAGAAATGCGAAAGTATTGGACGTAGGCTCGTCTCGAGTGTTGCAATCGCCTTTCGTGTTTCATTTGCCTACGCCGTGCAATTTGTCATGCTGGCATCACGTGGCCTCCGCAACTGAGGTCACGACGGAGTCCGGGCGCATTATTGAGCCCATTGGCCCCCATCGATGCCGCGTGTCGATGGCATTCTCTTTTGTTTTACCTAAAGCTATCAAGTGGATTGCAACGGACTCCGTGCTCGCTCTGTGTATCAGGCCAGTCGGTGCGGCAGGATATGATTGCTACACCCACCAGGGAGGATTGTTGACCCAGCAAAGTGGAGGGAGTGAAGACATCTGCACGCGAGGATCATATGCAGAACCTTTGGATCATGGGCAATTGGAAGCAGGATGGCGACAGCGGCGGAGACACTGGAATGGATGATGAGACAGGGGCTGCAGTGGAGGAGACGCTGCTGCACGGGGCCCAGCGATACTTGACAAGTAGGGTGACAGTCGTTGCGGGGATGCGCAGTCAAGGAAGCAACGCCGAGTCAGATCGGAGACTACCATTGAAGCAGCGGGCCTGCCGCGTACATAATCGCATGGTTCATGATCCATGCTGTTGGATGTGCCGCATGGAGTTCCCATTGCGTGCGCAAAAATAGCGCTGACCTCACGGTGTGCTCTCAAGTTGTCCTCGTCGCCACCCTTTCGCGCTCGTAGTTGTTCCCCATATCCTAAGATGGGGTTATTGTTATTACTTGGACGCCTCCTACTCCTCCTCCTCCTTCCTCCTCCTCTTTTCTCCTCCCCTCCTGTCGGACATACTCAGACTTGCTCATACACAGACTTACTCATACTCTGACTTACTCATACTCAGACCTACTCATACTCAGACTTACTCACACTCAGACATACTCATATACAGACTTACTCATACACAGACTTACTCATACACAGTATTAGTCATACCCAGACGTACACATCAGCACCCCTAAGGGGAGCCGCCAGGGGTGGTTGCACGGGCTCGTTCGCGGCCATTTTGTGGGGATGTCTCAGGCGGTTTGCCTGTTTCTGTGCCCAACATCCTTCGCTTTCGGAGCAGATTTGGAGGATGTCTCGAGCGAGGCGCTCATTTCAGCACCCCTAAGGGGAGCCGCCAGGGGTGGTTGCACGGGCTCGTTCGCGGCCATTTTGTGGGGATGTCTCAGGCGGTTTGCTTGTTTCTGTGCCCAACATCCTTCGCTTTCGGAGCAGATTTGGAGGATGTCTCGAGCGAGGCGCTCATTTCAGCACCCCTAAGGGGAGCCGCCAGGGGTGGTTGCACGGGCTCGTTCGCGGCCATTTTGTGGGGATGTCTCAGGCGGTTTGCTGTTTCTGTGCCCAACATCCTTCGCTTTCGGAGCAGATTTGGAGGATGTCTCGAGCGAGGCGCTCATTTCAGCACCCCTAAGGGGAGCCGCCAGGGGTGGTTGCACGGGCTCGTTCGCGGCCATTTTGTGGGGATGTCTCAGGCGGTTTGCCTGTTTCTGTGCCCAACATCCTTCGCTTTCGGAGCAGATTTGGAGGATGTCTCGAGCGAGGCGCTCATTTCAGCACCCCTAAGGGGAGCCGCCAGGGGTGGTTGCACGGGCTCGTTCGCGGCCATTTTGTGGGGATGTCTCAGGCGGTTTGCCTGTTTCTGTGCCCAACATCCTTCGCTTTCGGAGCAGATTTGGAGGATGTCTCGAGCGAGGCGCTCATTTCAGCACCCCTAAGGGGAGCCGCCAGGGGTGGTTGCACGGGCTCGTTCGCGGCCATTTTGTGGGGATGTCTCAGGCGGTTTGCCTGTTTCTGTGCCCAACATCCTTCGCTTTCGGAGCAGATTTGGAGGATGTCTCGAGCGAGGCGCTCATTTTCACCCCCCAGGTGGGCCAGATTTTGAGGATGTCTCGATCGGTTTGCTAGTTTTGGTGGCCAGGCTCGTGGGCGCAGATTCTTCTCAGGATGCCACAGGAGGCTCCAACAGGCTCCAGGAGGCTCCAGGAGACCACATGAGGTCCCAGGAGGCATCAGGAGGCCACAGAAAGACTCAAGAGGCCACAGGATGTCCCAAGAGGCTCCAGGAGGCCCCAGGAAGCTCCAGAAGGCCTCAGGAAACCACAGGAGACCCCAGGAGACAACAGGAAGCGCCAGGAGGCCTCGGAAGGCAACAGGAGGCCCCGAGAGGCCCCAGGAGCAGGAGGCCTCAGAAGGCAACAGGAGTGGCTCCAATCCCATGTGTTTTACGTATGCTCCTATCGATTGGGCCTCACCTGGAGCACGATTCTTTGATGTTCTACGTATGTTTCTATAGATGGTCCTTCTCCTGTGTACACAATCCTAAATGTTTTACTCATGTTCCTATGTATTGGGCCTCTCCTGGGGCACGAGTCCTTGGTGTTTTACGCGTGTTCCTATAGATTGCCCTTCTCCTGTGGCTCTAATCCGCAATGTTTTATGTACGTCTGTTGCTATAGATTGCGCCTCCCCTGGGGCACGAAACCTTCCTAGGAGGTCCCAGGAGGTCCCAAGAGGCTCCTGGAGACCCCAGGAAGCCCCAGTAGGTTTCAGGAGGCCCCAGGAGGCCCCAGGCTCATGCACAGAGACGCGCTCGTACTACTGAGGCTCATTCACACTCCAATTCATTCGCAGTTAGATTGATGTCCAGACCGTCACAACTGAAGCCCGTTAATATTCGAAAGCTCTTGCGCCTAGACATTCACGGCGGACAGGTCCATGCGAGTAGATGCACATATGGGGAGCTCCACGCAGTGAATAATTACCGTTGTTCAACATGTACTATTACCTCCAGGTTTGAGCTGCGCGACGGTGTAGGCGAAGAGTGCCCAGTCCTGGTCCCAATCCTTCCCCTCCCCCTGACCCCTCGCGCTCTCGTAACTGCGTGGGCCCCATGGGCAGCAGCTGGGCGCAACGTGTGGGGGTGTCTTCCCTGGCACCGCGACCTCCGCCTCCTTGTTCTGCTTGTGGTGCCCCACAGCACGAGAGAGCACCGTTGAGCGTCAGAAGGCGTAGGGGATGTCCCGCGTGCTCGAGGGAGGCTGTCCGCCCAGAGCACGATGAAGTCCTGGACGAATCTGATCGACCGGTGGGAGGAGACGGGCTTCGGAGAGCGCATCAAGAGGGACCCGGCCTCAACGCCATGCTCGTCCTCCTCGACCTCTTCCCTTGTCGTCCTCCTCCAGGGGGCCACGTGCGAACCCTACCCCTACCCCCCCCCCCCTCAGAGATCGTGGGGGGTTGGGGCAGTGTTCGCATGTGGCCCCCTATCCTCGTCGTCCTCTCTGGGCAGGCATCTGTCTTCAGCGCACTCCCTTGCTCGAGCGCGCTGCGGCCCGAGTTCAGGCACGCTTCCTCGCTCATCCTCTTCTCTTGCCTCCCTCTCCTTTCTCCTTGTCTTTCCTCTGCTCGGAGCAGGGCCAACTGGAATATTATGCAGCCCTTCTCTCATGGAATGAAGGAACAGGAGGAGGGAGGGAGAGGAGGACGCCACGTCTCAACGGGTCCTCCTTCGATTTCCCCCTTTTCACCATTTCCGTCCCTCCCTCGTTTCTCTTCTTTCGCGCAATCTTTCAGTGGTAGGTTCTAAATGGTGAGTTCGACTGCGATTGAATAAACAGCATGTTCCAGAAATCAGAATCTGCGCGCGCAGGAGATCGAGTAAGTGCGCAAGTGAAGAACACATTGTGCTTACTCTGTGCGTTATGGATGAACAAACCGTAATGTGTGCCAATTGCTTTTACATGCGCGAGGACATGTGGCCCACATTGTATGTAATCGCTTCGTTCACTCCGCCGGCCCATTTAGTTTCATTGTTGACTCTTGGTTCAGGCAAGGCCAAGGGGCGGCCATAGAAGTACACGCGGAGTCATACCTCCATGCTCAATGGTGGCAGTCAGGTCTCGGGGGTTCCATTCGGATTTCGTTCATCGGCGCTGGGCTCGTCCTGCTCCTCGTCTTCTTCCTGCTCCTATTCTTGCTCCTCCCCGCCTGCTCGCTTTCCTGTTGCTCTTCCCCCTTCTCTTCCTCCCCCTTCTCCCACTTCTGCCGTTTATCTTTCTCCTCGTCCTTCTCATCCTCACTTCTTCCTCCTCGTCCGCGGAAGACCATCAAACGCGGAGCGGCGCGGAATGCCATATCGTTGGTGGTCCCTTTGGGGTCCTCAGCCTCTTTGAGGCTGTCTTGTTTCATCGTTGTCCAACCGTGGGGCTATCATGAGGTCGCCCCGGGCGGGTGCGGGATCATTTTCGTACTGATCCCTCGCGCCCAATCTTCAAGTGCTTCGCGCATCCTGGAGACCCGTGCAGTGTAACCGTTGCCATCGGCTTTGCGGTCGCGGCGAGTGGGACAACGCAGGTTGGCAGTAGCGTCCCTCTTTGGAACCCTCATGGGAACATCTGGGGTCGCTCTGAAGCCCATAGCAAGCGGGAAGGCGATGAAGGCAGCACCATGACACGTGTTTCTTTAGATATTCGAAGGATTCGGACCTCCTAAAGGCGTCTTAAGGGCTGTCGTGGACAATGTTGGGTCACCTTTTTCGCTGGCCCTGTCCCCGATGTCCCCGGCCCTGTTGCTGGCCCCCGCTGCCGAAATACCTCCAGCCAGGGCCGCCGCCGAGCTTCTCTCGCATGGCCCCGTTCCCAACAGCTCCTGCCCCAACGCATACCGCCCATCGTTGCCAATCTTCTTCCCTCGGCCGTGTTCCCTCCCACACCCACCCGAAACAGCCCTGGGCCCTTTCCTGGAGGCTCTCGGAGCTCCCGGGCCTTCATCTTGCGCGATGCTTGAGACCAGCGATCAGATTACGCTACCGAAGGTACATCACATGTTTGTTCAGACATGTCGATGTATAGGTTCCCCAAAGCAGTGCTCGCACTTAGGGGTCGTTGTATGTTTTCTGGGGAACTGGGCTCCATTGCTGGGTCCACCGCCTTCTTGTTGCCGTCGCCGCCCCGTCACCACCTCATTGCCGCCTCTCGTCTGGGCTCCATTGCCGGGTTCGCCGCCTTGTTGCCGTCGCCGCCTCATTGCCGCCCGTCGTCTGGACATCTTTGCCGGGTCCCCCGCCTCGTTGTCGCCGTCGCCGCCTCGTCGCCGCCCGCCATCTTGGCTCCATTGCAGGGCCTGCCGCCTAGTTGTCGCCGTCGCCGCCTCATCGCCGCCAGATACAGATTTTCGTTTCTAATTTCAAGTCGGGCGTGCTTCTGCAGGAGGAATATTCAAAAATTGTGAAACGATAGTTTTGGGACGATTCTTTGAATATTTCCTGAGTAGTTGGATGAATTTTCTGGAGTATCTCAAACTGTTCTTCCAAAGTCCGCCTCTAGGGGGACATGCCCGCCCTAATTCTAAATGCTGGTGGCCTCCGTGCTGGTGGTCCCCCGCGTGCAGTCCGCGACCCTCTGCGCCGCCATGGGCGGCTGGCCGACGGCTCAGCAGATTCGGGGCGGGGGCGCCGTGCTGCTTCGGCGGCCCATCGAGCATCGCGCTGCCTGCGGCGAACTTCACGCGCTCCGCGCGCGGTGGTCGGGGCCCACCCGGCCGCGGATGGACTGCCGGCTCGAGGACTGCATAGGGCTGGGCATGACAGCGGCTCGTTCGCTGCACGCGCTGGGGGCTGATCACGTGCACCGCCTCGAGTCCTGTCGGACGGTCGCCGTGTGCGCGAGTCGCCGTGTGCAGGCTGCGGTCCGTCACGGGGCGCCGATCGCGGGCGCCCCTGCCCTCTGTCGCGGCTTCGTTCGCGAGGCCACGCGCGAGCACCCGGCCAGCGCGCGCGCCGTGGCCCTCGCTCACACAAGGCAGCGAGAGCAGTCGTTCAGCATCCTCTCTCCCTGTTTGTCGTCTTCGTCGTCTCTCCCCTCCGCCTTTGATCTCGGAGTTCGCCATCTCGTGCCGCCGCGCGGCCGTTGGACACTCGAGGGCGTGCTCCCTATTGCTTCCTAGCCGCGCGTGGTCATTCATGGCGGTCGTTTTGTTTCAGTCTGCCGGTAGGCTTGCTTTGCCCTTCCCTCCTCCTCTCCTTCCTCCTCCCCCTCCTCCCACTCGTGGTTCCTGGTGTGGAAGTGTCCGAATCTGTTTTCCGTCAGGCGTTTTCCACCCCCCGGCGGAGCCCCGCCAGAGCGGCCTGGAGGGCGATTCCTTGCGCAAAAAGGCAGGGGGATAATTATGCCGTTTCTCTGCCGGCCCCCAAAACGGCACGGCTATTTTCTCAGTTTTTTGCATGATTTGAATCGCGCTTCGGAGTGGCAGAGCAGCCTCGCGGCTACTGCCATTCTCGTCTGTGCGTTCTTGCGTCGCCCCCTGTTTGTTTGGCGTTGGTCGTCCTCTTTTTTTTTCTTGTCCTCCTCCTCCTCCTCCTCCTCCTCGCGCCCTCCTCCTGTCGTGCGGGACGTGGGCGGTGGCGTTCGGCCCTCTCGCGCAGCGCGTGCATATTCAAGTCCTCGCGATTGCACCGATGCAATCTGGCCGGGGTCCGGGGTTCGCCCGGCGTGCGGGGCGGGGCCCGCGCGGGGTAGTTTCTTTGGAAGACAAGATTCGGCCCTTCCCTTCATCCTCTGCCAAAACGTACTATGCGCGCGCATTCGCTCATCACGACTCATCAGTTTTGAAGAAGACCTTGCGACAAACTGGACGACATATACATGCGCGCGTCGTCACGCGCGCATGCCGAAATCTCTTAGAAACATAAGGTGTCTTAAAGATTTCAAAATCGAGGGCCACGCAAACACATAAATAATTTATGGTTTCGCCGCAATGGTTGTCAAAAAGAAAACACACCTGCGCTCGTGCCCTTGCGAATTCTTAGTAAATCATTGGTTGTTCAAGATTGTCGTAACAAAAAGGCTACCAACTGGGCCTCTCGCGCGCGCATGTCGACATCGTTCGAACGCCCGTGCACGCGTGCTGTTTCAAGAGCCCCTGTCAAAAAATGGGGCGAAGTGCACGCGCGCGCGTCGTCGCGCGCGCGTGCCGAAATCCATCAAGAATCTAGGATATCAAGTCCATGCCTGAGACGAGTCCTCAACATTAAGCCGCCGGTCACTTCGAGGGCATCCAACGCAACTGTCTTGCAGCGCGCGGGCTTCGAGGCCGCTTCTGCGTAGGTCCGACGCAGGCAGTTGGTTTTATTAGGTCGTGTCTTGCGCCTGCCAGACTGCTCAGACATTCGAGCGGTCACGTTCCAGCCTGGCCTCCCCTTGCGCCCCGCCGCCGACAGGTGCGCCCGACGAAGCGGGAGGCCTAGGAATGAATGGGTCCGAAGTGCGCTGCCCGACGCAATCCGATTGACCGGAGGCAGCTTCCGTCTACAACATGCCATGAGTAACGCTTCCAGTTGGCACCAATCAGTGCGCCAAGTCGGTTTGCTTAGTTGATCAGCTGACATTCGCGCCCATGGGCTGCCACAGCAAACGACGCGAACGAACGAACGAAGGAATTCAAAATCGAGCGCCCCGAAAGCATATCAAAACACATGGCTTTGCAATATCAGTTTTCCGAAATGCGCTCGCGCCCTTGCGAATTCTCACGAAACAAAGGTTTCTCACCATCTTTGCTACATTCGGCCGCGCGGGCCTGTCGCGCCGCGTGTCCACATCGTTCGAACGCCCTTGCGCGCGCTCTACGGTGCTCAATCCGCGTCAAGCGATGCCATGCGGGCCACTCGCGCGTCGGCCACGCGCGCGCGTCGAGCTCCATCGAAAACTTTCGTCGCCGACGCGAGGGCGCCGTCATCGTCGTCGGCGCGATCAGCACCCGCGCCGTCACTGGCCGCGCCGTTGCCGTTGTCATCATCGCCGCCAGCGTCGCCGCCGCCATCTTCGCGTCTGCCGTCGTCGACGCTGCCGGGAAACCGCGCCCGCGCGAGCGGGCGACTCGCACTGAAGCGCCCGCCGGAAAGTGCCCGGAGGTCAGCGCCGCCGCGGCCGCGTCGGTCGCGCCGCGCTACCTGGCCGCTGCGCGCGCATGCACGCGCGGGCAAGCGCGGCCGTAGAGATCCACCGGCCCACGCCAATCACTCATCGCAATCGCCGCCGCGCGTGCGTTGAAAAACAAGGTGCGGGCGCGCGAGTGGGGCGATTGCTGCGAGCGGTTGAGTTGACACTTGCGAGTCCCACAAGCGAATTGCACCACGTATAATCTCCCTTCTAAGCGAGCAACAGGATCTGCCCCCCCCCCCCCGAAATTGACGGGGCCCCGTTTCGCATTGCAATGTGCGCGTTATCTTGCCCTATCGCCCATCCGAAATTTGAACGCATAGTTTCCCAGCTCCACCGGCCCCCCCAATCCACGCCAGAGATGATCACGCGCGCGCGCTCGTTTATCAAGGGTTGTTAGTTCCCAGGAGTACCTCTGCAAGTGGGCGGACGACTTGCACGCGCGCGCGTCGTCGCGCGCGCGTGGGGAACCTTCAGAAGCCTTGAGTGTTGAAAGGATCTCAGAATCGGCAGCCCTGGAAACAACGCGTTTGAAACTGTGCACATGGCTGCGCAAGACGAATGTTGACCAGAAGCTTGCACGCGCGCCCTCGCAAAATTCTTAAGAAAACCATGGGTGCCCAAAAATGTGCATAAAAGGATATCAAACAGGACCGTCGCACGGGCATGTCGAAATTGCTCGAGAGCTCTTGCGGCCGCGCTGTCGCAAGAACCTCTTGCGAAAAAGTGAGACGACATGCACGCGCCCGCCATCGCGCGCGCATGCGAAACTATGGAAGATACTTCCGATGTCGAGGGGTGTCCAGAATCGAGCACCCCGAAGAAAATGTTTCTCTGCAACAGAAAGTGGTTGCAACAGCAGTTTTCAAAGATGCCTGCTCTCGCCTTCGCGCACATTCTGAAGAGAATAACACGTGTCCATTGGATTCTGCGCCGTCACTGGCGTCGCCGTCGCGGTTGTTTTCATCGTCACCAACGTCGCCGCTGCCATCGTCGGGCCGACCGTCGTCGACGTTGCCATGATTCCGCGCCCGCCCAAGTCGCCGACTCGCACTGAAGTGCGCGCGGGGTAGCGCCCGGCTGTCAGCGCCACTGCTGCCGCGTCGGTCGCCCCGAACTAGTTGCCCGCTTCGCGCGCGAGCATGCGCGCTAGCGCGGCGCGCGGCCGCGGCGCCGCGCCAGCCAGCGCCGAGCAATCGTCGCAACCGCCGCGGCGTGGATTTCGCCAACCAAGTTGCGGGTGGGCGGGCGCGACGTTTGCGCGAGCAGTGGAGTCGACAATTTCAAGTTCGCCAGGGCGAACTCTCTCTTCCAATTATACATGAAACCAGAAAAGGATGCCCCCACCCCAGAGAAAAATGGAGAAACAACAAAAAAACTGCATCCCCCTGGGGATTATCGGTTCCTTCTGCCGCATTGCAATGCACAAATGAGTCTGCCCCGTCGTCCACCACCCTAAATATGAATTAGCACCACCCCAGGGGAACCGGCATCGCCCCCCCCCCCCGCCACGCCCGTGCATGAAAAAGGGGCGCGCGCGCACTCGCCGATCAAAAGTCATGAACTGTCAAAAATCCTTTCGCCAAAAAAGCGACGAAGTGCACGCGCGCGCGTCGTCGCGAGCGCGCGCCGAAATCGCGCAAAAACCGTCGGCGACGCAAGGATTTCAAAACCGAGTGTCAAAGAAAACATACACCAGCACAGGATGTTGCAACGCGGATTTTCAAAGAAAGCTCGTGCGACCGTTCTTGCGAATTCTTAGGAAATCCATCGGTTTTCAGAACCTGCTACTAAACGGCGCTCGGCGCGCGCACGTCGGAATTGTTCGAGCGCCCTTGCGCGCGCGCCGTCGCGGGAACCCTCGTGCAGCAAATGAGACGAAGTGCGCGCGCGCGCGTCGTCGCGCGCACATGCCGAAATCAGCCGAACAAATTGTTAAAACCGAGCGCCCAAAAAAAAACACGTGCGACAACGCATGGTTTCGCAACTTCGGTTTTCAAAAAACCGCGCGCGTGCTCTTGCGAATTCTTCGGGAAACCATCGGTGTTCCAACGTGTTCCTCGAACTCTGCCAAGCGGGCCTCTCGCGCCGCATGCCGACATCATTCGCGCGCCCTTGCGCGCGCGTTTGGGGGGGGGGGGGGGGGGGGGGGGGGCGCGATGCTATTCAAATGGCGCCATGCGGGCCACGCTCGCGCGTCGGCCGCGCGCGCATGTCGAGCTCTTTCAAAAGCCTTCATCACCGACGCGAGGACGCCGTCATCGTCGTCGGCGTGATCAGCATCCGCGCTGTCACTGGCCGCGCCGTCGTCGCTGTCAGCATCGTCGCCAGCATCGCTATTATCATCGCCGCGTCCACCGCTGTTGGCGTTGCCATGATACCGCGCCCGCCCAAGCCGCCGACTCGCGCTGAAGCGCCCGCTGGGATGTGGACGCGCCCAGCGGTCAGCGCCACCGCAGAGATGCACTAGCCAGCGCCAAGCACTCATCGCAATTGCCGCCGCGCGGGGTTTGCAAACCAAGTTGCGGGTGGGCGGGCGCGACGTTCGCACGAGCAGTGGAGTGGGCAATTTCAAATTGAGCATTGAATAATCTCCTTTCTACAGAGAGAATAGACTCTACCCCCCCTGGCGTCATCGGTACACCGTTGTGCGATGCAATTTACATATGACCCTGCCCATCGCCCATCCTAATTATGAATTCACACCACCCCAGCACAGCCGGGTTCGACCCCCCCCCCCGACATACTTTGGAACAAATATTATGCGCACGCTTTCGTTTATCCAGAGTTATCAGTTATCATGAACCCCTGGCCAAAACATCGACGAAGTGCACACGCGTGCGTCGT